GGTTTTTGTGTGGACTTTGGCTCACAAGAGTCTTATTGCATATTTCAAAACTAGGCTTTGTGGAATTGTGTCTTTGGTTTTGTTGAGCGCAATGCTAGAATCTTTGAGGACAAATTTAAGGACATTGATTCTCTTTGGGATTGAGTGTTTTTTTATCCTAATTTGGGGCTTTGCTTTCTTTTCCTTTTAAGGGGATTCAATTATTTTTGGTTTTTAGAATCGTTGGGCGGTATGTCATCAGTAGTCTATAATCTTGATGAGTTTTGCTCTTTTTATTTATTTGTTCTTTTTTTGGTGGACTTCTTGTTTCCCACTTTCTTGTAATTTTCTTTATTTTAAACACTCCCCATTTGATTTACTGAAGTCAGTTCCTGACAAAAATATTTGTGTTTTATTATTGAGTTACCTCACTTTTAACCTATGAAGCGTGGACACTCCAAAACCGGTGCTATGGCGGTGTCTGACACGCGGACACGCCAGGGACACGGGGACACGTACGGGACATGCCAAATGGCGTGTCCCTTTAATTTAATGATTTTTTTTGTAGGGGACACAGCGGGACACGTGTGTCCATCATATCGGAACAAGAACGAACTCAGAACAGAAGAGAGAGAGAGAGAGAGAGAGAGAGAGATGCTCGTCGGGCATACCTAGAAGGTCTTCGCTGGTGAGTCGTCGGTGGTCGGTGGTTGGTCTCCGAACGTCTTCTTCGTCTTCGTCTTCGTCTTCGTTGCTCTCAGTCTCTCTCTCTCTCTCTCTCTCTCTCTCTCTCTCTTTCTCTCTCTTTCTCTTCGATTGTGATCTCTGTCTCTCTTCTCTCTCAACTATCTCTCCTCTCTCAGTCGATCTCCATCTCTCTCGTCTCTCTGTCTGTCTTGTCTCTCTTTGCTCTTTTCTCTCTTTTCACCTCTCACCTCTCCCTCGTCTCTTTGTCTTCTCTCTCTTCTATCTCGTTTCTCTCTGTTCTCTGTTGATAGATATTTTTATTTATATTTATATATATGTTATATTTTAGTTTATATATATATATTATATATTATATATAATATATAATATATAATATATTATATATATTTTTGTATTTATATATATTATATCTCTTCTCTTTGTCTTCTTTCTTCGGTATCTTTTATTTATAAATTTATATATTGTAAATTTATGTTTATTATATATTTAATTTTTTCTTTATATAATGTTTACAATATATAGAACATATGTTTATAATATTTAAATGTAATGGTTTATATAATGTTTACAATATATAGAACATATGTTTATAATATTTAAATGTAATGGTCTTTATATACACATTAAATTAATATTAGTGTTTTTTAATTTTGATTATTTGGTAATATAAAATTACTCTACATAGCAAATACGTAACATATATATTTAAAAAAATAATAATAATTTGTCGTGTCCCCCGCCGTGTCCGTGTCTCCATTTTGTTGAAATCGCCATGTCTTGTGTTAGTGTTTGTGTCCGTGTCTGTGCCTGTTCTTCATAGCTTTTAACTTTTAGCTAGCTGCAAAGAAAAATTTTCTAGGAACACTCTCCATTAGTTTAAAGGGAATTTAATTCCTGTCACAAAAGTAGTGCTGTAAGAATTTATGTATTATTGATTGTTATTGATTGTGATTGTTATGTAAATTACAGATGGTGAGGTACTAATTATATAGGAGAGGATTGGGGAGTAGGTGAGTGTGTGTGGTAGGTGAGTTGAGTGGAGGTGGTAGGTGATGATATATTATGGTAAATTCTAACAGCCCCCCGCAAACTCAAGGAGGATAGGAACTAACCAACTTGAGTTTGGAGAGAGTTTACAAAACAAGAAAATACATAAAAATAATAAAAAAAAAGATAGGGGACACTGTATGGTCGTGTCAGACCGTCGGTGAAGACTCTGAAAGGTGGTGCCATAACGTGGTAGAGGACACTGGATGGGTGTGCCATAACGGTATAGAGGACACTGGATGGTGGTGTCATAACGGTGTAGAGGACACGGTAGGGGGGTGTCATAACGGTGTAGAGGACACTTGAGGGGTGTGTCATAACCTTGTAGAGGACACTGTATGCTAACCGGAATCAAAGTCGGGACAGTTTATAGGGTCATGTCGGACCGTTGATGAAGGCTAACCGGAATCAATGTCGGGACAGTTTATGGGGTCATGTCGGACCGTTGAAAAAGTTGCACCCTCAAAAGGTGTGCCCAATCTATCAAAAGGCGTGCCATCAAAAGGCGTGCCCAAGTTATCAAAAGGTGTGCCGGACATGATGGCGAGGCACGTGGGCGCCTTGGCTTGCGTGCCCGTTTGTCGGCTGGTGGCAAGAGGCGCGCGATGCGCGTGGCTGCCTCGGCTATAAGACGGAGGCTGAGGCTGAGGCAGAGAAAAGCTGTGACAAACCTCTGAAAAACTTCGTTGTGCTGAGAGAGAGAGTCTGAAAAACACTTCGTTGTGCTGAGAGAGAGAGTCTGTAACACGCAGTTGCCCAGACAATGGCCTCTTCTTCTTCTTCTTCCCGTGGTCTGCTTACTCTCTTTCCCGAACTGAACGAGTCAACAAGAGAGAGAACTGGTGCGGAGACCAGTGAACCGCAACCACATCATCCTGTGTTTGCTCCGTTGAACTTTCCGATGCGGTCGGTGGAGCAAAAAATGGCAGGGGTGCAGTCGGATGTGGAGGCCAATCAGTAATACTTTGAAGGCATGTGTGGAAAGCATGACGGCGGTCACAAATTTGTCGAACCGGCTGCAGAGTAGGACAAATGAGGTGCAGCATTTGAACGGCCAACTGGCTCTGCTCCAACGGCATGTATAAGGATGCGCGAGCAGAGATAAGTGTGTTGAAAGCAAAATAAGGAGCTGAAGCGGAAGGGCCACCGTGATGTTCGATTTGGAGGGCCGCCATATCTGCAGTGGAGGAGCAGGGAGGAGGCAACTTGCTTGGTGGTCTAGGAAGCACGGAGGCAACACCGTCAAGGGCCGCCCAGGATGGAGGCAAGAAGAAGAGACCGGCGGCAGAGTAGGTCGGTGGGTGGCCGGTGCAGAAAAGAACACAAATCTGTTGTTGTTGTGATGGTGTTTTTTTTTTTTTTTTTTTTTTTTTTTTTTTTGGTGTAAAATGTGGATCGGGGTTGATCCCCTGATATGAATAAAAATGAGTTTGGTGTGCAGTTTCGCCGTCTTTCGGTTTGGTTTGTTTTTGTTTTGTTTTGTTTTTTTTTTTTTTTTTTTTTTTTTTTTTAAATAAAAAGATATATATATATATAAAAGAAAAAAAAAATGGGGTAGTGGAGACATGATGATCAAAATAGAATGATAAGATATACATATATATATATAATATATATAAAATAAAGAAAATAGGGTAGTGGAGACATGATGATCAAAATAGGATGATAAGGACACTTTCCCTAACCCAAAACTTCCGAGAGACCCAATGATGACATGCATGTGTGGGTGGTATCTGCTTCTGGGTTATTTTGTCGGTTGTTTTTTTTTTTTTATTTTTTTTTATTATTATTATTTTATTTTTATTTTATTGATTTATTTAGTTATTGATTCCTTCCAAAACTGGATGTCGTGCATGTGTGTTGAATGTGCTAGATAAAAAAGGGGTTGGTGAAGAAGAAAAGAAAAGAAAAGAAAGTGGGTGTCATGATGTGAAAGACAGAAGATAGTGGAGTAAAATATTAAAAGAAAAAGAAAAAGAGAAGAGAGGTTTTGCTGAGAAAGAGAGGGAGAGAGATCAAGGCAGCTTTGAACAGCTGCTGTCGGTGTGGTGTGTGAAAGCTGGTGTGTATGTATTGAGTGATGCTTGCTTGATCTCCTTGATGAGTTGGGGTCGCTCATGCGGGCGACGCCGCCTTGGGAACGGATGTCGGCCGGACGCGTTCCAGGCCATGACGGCGCAGGCGCCAGCCTCCTCCGCGATGCGAGCTTGGTCAGCGTTGACGACGTCCATGATGACTCTTGCCGCGGAGCATCTGGGCGAGGCCTACCTTCACTGAGAAAGGGGATTTCTTCGTGGTTTCGGTGATTGCTGCATTGCCGTAGACTGTTACACACCGCTTCCTGCCATTTCAAGAGAGAGAGAAAGGGATTCAATGTCTGAGAGGTTGAAACGCAGAGGTGGTAACCCTAAACCGAGAGAGGATATAATGAATGGAGGTTTGAATTGGTTGAGATCCGGCGGACGGGTCAAGGTAAGGTTGCCGCCCGCCGGAAGGCGAAGAACACCAAGATCTTTAACCTATAGCTCTGATACCATGTAAAGATTTATGTATTATTGATTGTTATTGATTGTGATTGTTATGTAAATTACAAGATGGTGAGGTACTAATTATATAGGAGAGGATTGGGGAGTAGGTGAGTGTGTGTGGTAGGTGAGTTGAGTGGAGTGGTAGGTGATGAATATTATGGTAAATTCTAACAGTGACCTTAGTTTCAACTTACTGCTAATGATATGAATATGCTTCAAAGAAAATCTTTTCCAGGTACATTGTGTATTCTGTTAATGTAAGAAACTTTTTGTTGGACTGAGTGGGAGATTTTCTACAACCTTTCTTAAGGACATAGAGAGGCACATATACAATACTAGTTTCTTGTTGATGTTCTTCCTTTCTTTCTTAGAAAGTGAAATTTTATTGCAATGATTGAGTTAAGAATGTTTGCAAACATATTTTGACCATGTATCTCCAGGTGTTAACCTAATTAACCCTTTAATCTTTTGTGTCTTAAATGCTTCTGGTGTCCTGGAACTGTCAACCTTGCCTATAATATTTCATCAATAAATTCTGGTAGAATTCAATTACCTTCCA